TTCAGTCCATTCCTGAGCACACAACAAAGTCAAGTCTGTGGAACCCAGTGCAACATAAAATAAGCCTAACCCATGCAACCTCTGCTTCACAAGTCATAAATCTGGGGTGGAATTTCTCTCCCTTTTCTTCTTGGTAAGCGTTTCCCTTCTGTGGCTGTTGGATGCAATTGGAGGCCAGGCTGCCATCGTCTCAGGCTGGGATTTGGATAGGAGGGGGAGGGAGCTAATCCTTTTTTCATCACATTAAATTAAGCTATAAACTATACCTTTTAATTCCTCCTAATTAAATTTCTCACTGGAAAACGGAAATGTTATTTCTTAATATTTTTTCACAAAACATGGCAAGAAGCACTTTGGAAGAGGTGTGCCTCAGCGTTGCAGGCAGCTATCCTACGCAGACATTGTGGGACATGCCTGGGGCTCTCCAAGAGCTGAAGACCACTCCACGTCAGGCAGCTCCCCCGTCCATCACACATACTAGACTGACTCACCTCCACACATGCATTCAGCCATGAAGAAGGGAGAGTGCACGTTCAGCTGAGACAGCGTCCAGCCATCTAAGATATGCAAAGTCCCAGAGCTAGCCCAGCCCCTTGGACTCTTCTGGTGGAGAAGGATGCATTCCCAAAAGCCCTTGAAACACCCAACCAGCCCAGTGTTTGCTGGGCTTTCTGCAGCCATGGTCCTGCCCTCTTCTGCAACCACAGCAGCAATGTCAGGCTGTGGTGGTTGCCTCCTCAATGGATGGATCCAAAGTGCTTTGGGGAAAAGAAAAAGAAAAATAATTAGGGCTTTTTAATTTTTAAAGCAAAGCTGTTTGGGAGCCCAGCTTCAATTAGCATTCAATGGGCTGCATCCCCTAAATCATGTAGGGGTTGGCTGGCTGGCTTACAAATGCCAGGCTTTTCTCTACTGACACAGAAATATAGCTAGTGCTTTGCAATTCTAAAGCATTTAAAAGTAATTGGCATTTTCCCCTTTACGTTCCAAGATGTGCTCATGGGAAGTAACCCAATAGGCAAGAGACTGTCTCCAGGGCCTCTGAACTGTTCTGGCTTCACAAAGGAAGAAATCCAATACAGCAAATTGCAGCGAGGAGTCAGCTGAAAGCAAGAGCAGGCTACAAAGGAAGCAACGTGTCCCTCTCAGTCCTCCTGGCTTAGCAAGCAGAAGGAGTTTCCATCTGCTCTTCAGATCCCCAGCAGCACAGCGACCCGGTATCACTGAGCCAGACCAGAGGTAGCTACAGCAAGATCAAGCACCAGCTCAGTGGAGTGGAGAAACCCACATCTGACTCAAGGACATGCGTGCCAGGGCTGCATTGGAGACGGTATGTCCTAGGTTGCACACACGAGATCGGGACTTTCAGATTTCAAGGTAAAAATAATGACACTGGTGTTCCTTTTGCCCAAGCTGGTGAGGATAATGAGATGTGAACAGTGGTTGAGCTGTCCTCCCAGGTCAGCAGGCTGCCTGGAGAAGAGACAAACCACACAGCACTCACCTCCAAGGCTGAAACAGAAACACTCCAGGGCCAGCTCTGGCAAGAGCTGCTCGTTTGCAGAACTGTTAATCCCACATCTACATGCCTCCAAGCATAACCATGTCCCACCAGGACAAAAACAAGAGTGAGCTCTCCCCCTGAGCAACCTGGCTGAATTAGATAACCTGTCTCCATCTGCAGGGTACCAGTGAGGAGCAAGAATTTGGGGGAGAAGGATTTTGCAGAGCCTGCTACCCCAGAGCATCTACCTATGTGATGGGTGAGGAACCCTGGCAGATAGCCTCCATGAGATAGGAAGAGACACCTGATCTTGTAGCTAAGGTGTGGGATCTGAGACTGAAGGACTGGTGAACTCATGGGTGGGTAAGATAAATCTCGCAACTTCAGACACCAGCAAAGTAAACAGCCTTACCTGAGCTTTCTTGCCCAAGGCTACTCTTGCAGACAACACAGAGAAATAGGCTTTTCTAGGAAGCCCTATTTTTGAGCTCAGCCTGACAATGAGGTGAAGAATGCTGAAGAAGTGGGCTGACTCTAGAAGCAGCTTAGATGACCAGTGTATTTGGACTCTGGACATCTAGCACTGGTGTCTCTGGAATCGAGGGGTGAGGTCCCAGGCAAACAGGGCATCCCTCAGAACCACAGTTGGACCCTCCAGTACCTAAACTCTACCCGCGTCCCATTTCGCACACCTCAACCCCACTCCTCAAAGGCTTCCTTTCCCCTGCACGGCTGAACACAGAACTAAGTCTCTTCCATTCCCACCCTAGGGAAGTCTCCAACACCCATAGTGCTCACCGATGTCTTCAGATAGAGACCTCTAAGCTCACCCCACCATCCCCTTCCAGCCTCCTCTGCCCCTGGACCCGAGTCCTCCTGATCTGGGGAGGTCCTCTTGCCCCACCGGTGTCCCTCACTGGCTAGCCACTGCGTTTTGGAATCCTGCCAGCAACTCTACCTTTTCAGCGGAGACATATTCCCCAGCCTTAACCCAGAGGGGCTGGCAGCCACCTCCTGACCTGCACAAGAGAGGAATGTCAGGCACGTCGTGAAATACAAGTCCTGCTTCCCAGAACTGTCAGGCTCCATTAGCGCCAGAGGGGCCTGACAATGTAAGGTTTTTAAACCCCAAACCGCCACACTAGCAAAGTTTCCCTTGCTAATGAACCACCCACAAGCTGAAACACAAGCCCAAGGCACAGGCAAGGCAGCGTGCAAGAGATGCAGGCAGACGTGCACACAGAGACATTCTTCTATATCCGTTTTCCGAGAGGCTCTTCTTCCCTACATAAAGCACAGCTGTTTATTTGCTTTTTCGGTGCTGCATCCTCAACCTGCTTTTAAAATTAAACCAAACCTTAGCTCCAAGGCAGTAGCTTTGTTCCATCGTACTGGAAAACAAAGCAAACCTAGACAGAGGGCCAGCTAAGACTGAGGGAGACGTTAGACATATTATTAAACCCCAACACTAACCAGTTCTTGTTTGAAGTGGTATTTGATGCAGAAAGCACAAGAAAACAGGTGCATAAAGATGCAAGAAGCCACCCCTAAGGTCTCCCAGGAACCAAATCAGTGCCTCCAAGCCCCAGGTTTATATGAGCCCTAGGCTTTCCACCCCGACTCAGGGGACAGTCATTTCTAATGCAAGGACAGATGAATGTGTGGGTCACGTCACCACGCGAAGAGCATGTAGCACCCATCAGCAGGTGGAAGACAAAGACTGGGGGTCTGGCGAAGGGAATTTTGTGAAATGGAGCAGCTGAGCGAAAGGAAAAGTCATAATTTAAATCCTGTTTAACCCAGAACTGACTGAAATCACTTCATGTCCCTGGAGAACACCTGAAACACCCTGCTACTGGTCTCTGCTTACTGCTTTCCTCCCAGTGCCAGCCTCCAGCAGCACTGCACTGGAGGGAGGTCTTGTCTGTGGATGCAGACAAGATGCATGGGAGAGGGAGCAAGGGGGTGGCAAGGGCTGGAGGACTGGTAACAAATCTCTGTGGTTTTAAAGGGTGGCTTCTAGCCATGGCAACAGAAGCACCAAGGGACAAGGGGCTCATGGGGTCACACACCAGCTAAGCAGGGGTCTGAGCAATCCAACCAAACCTGTATTTTTTGATGCAGGTATTTAAAGGGAGAAGGGAGGGAGCATTCTGAAGTTATACATTGACCATGCAGGCTTTCACCATCAGTTCTGGGCTCTGAGGATTCTGGTGGACATCCTGAACCCCTTTTCCTTTGTGTGATGCAGTGGACAGGCTCCAACCCTGGGTAAGAAGCAGTGCACCATAGGAGAGGGTTGCAATGCAAGGCTGGGTCACTGCAGGAGTCATGCCTCTCTAGACCCTACTCAGAACATTGCTTCAGCATTTAAGTTCAGATATTTAAATAAATAAATAAAAAGTGACAATTCAAAAGCAAGATCATAGTGTCATGTGCTGTTAAGAATAAATCAGAATATTTCTCCTATTCCTTCACAAGTCCACTACTTCCTCTCTACCCCCACCGAAACCCCACACAGCACAGCATCCTGCATTAAAATGTCCGTATTCAACATACTAAATACTCACACTATTTGCTGATGATCCATTTGGTAGGTTTTTCAAGGTCCAGATACCGGAAAAAGAAACCAAGGAAAAAAAAAAAAACCACACAGATTTGCCAATCAAAGAAGGAAAAAAAAGGACACTAGCACTTCATACACAATCCAAACAACATGGGAGGAGAAGATGTTCTCACACATTATAAAAATCTTGAGAGAACAGCCTTGCAGGGGACTAAAGCCTTCTGTGCTCAGTGCAGTATCATATAGTTGTGTCTACGCTAATATGCTTTGCAGGTTTAGGAATAAGTGAAGCTAGACTCAAATGTGCAGTACACTCAAGAGGTCATTAGGAAAACAGTACAGACATCTGCAGTTAACTAAAAAAATCAGTGGAATTATTCATGTACAAAAAGTTACAGGAACACGCATTTGGGAGGAAACAGGTACTTAAACTAATCCTTTCCAAATGAACATATGCAATAAAAATGGAATTAACACCTGTGCAGATAAAATACTTCTGCTCTCTTACACGGTGATGCTCGTAGTGCATTTTCAGTTGCTCCTAATAAGATTCCTGATAGCTCTGAAAACATGACATCATCTCTGTAATGGTGCAAAGAACTGCAAGTTGGACAAGGCTTTACTTCTTGATCTTGTGGCATTGTTTTGTAGATAATTTTCCCTGTTAATAACAAACAGGATTCAGAAACCTTCTGACCTGCAGGATTTTGGAACATTTTTTTGACGGGGCAAAAGAAGTATCTAATACCCATTTTTCATGACAGCGTGTTCAAAAGTAACCTCAGTGGAAATGAGGAGAAGGAGGAGATGCAGAGAGAACTGCCTCAGAAACTGTGCTGAACAAGCAGCGAAAGAGCGCTGTGAAGACCTGGTGAGTAACAGCGGTTCACATCTAAACAAACTAATTATTTTAATAGCTCGGCAACTTGAGCATCCAAATTAATATAACTTTATCCTGGGTAATATCAACATCTAAAGATCAATGCAACAATGGGGTTTTATACAATTTTTAGGCTTCTGGTCCCTAAACATTTTATATCTAATCAAGGCATATCTTAGTTTTTCTCTTCTATTTTGTTTTCATTTGGTAGGAATGTCAGTCAGTCCCAAGGCGTTTTTTTTTCTTCCTCTTCTTCACCTTCTTGAAGACAGGTTTATGCTAAGAACCATCCTCCGGATTTTTTCTTCGTTCTTTAAAATGTTAGCTTTTACAGCACAGATCTTGTCTTGCTGGTCTTTAATCAACTGTTCCAGTTCAGCCAGATCAGCTTTTAATGGTTCTACAGCACTGTCTGTGACGCTGAAAGAAATACAAAGAGTGTGATGTTATTGGAAACATTTTACTGCTTCTGCCTCCAAGAAAGTATATTCAATACCTGAAAGTTTGCAAAGAATTTAAATTGTGCCCACCCTTCCTGAAAGAAAGTTTAGAATAAGAACAAAGGCATAGCTAAAAAAATGGGCAGACAATAATACTGGTCAAGAGAGATCACCCACAACTCAACAGTAAAGTCACTTCTTGGCTAATCTCGCTTTTCCGCTAAAATCTCTTTGCTTTGCAGTTATTTCACCCCAAGCTATGTACACATCAAGCACTACTTTCATGTTACGCAGCCAAAAGGTGCAACCACCTGGCCTAGGGATGAAGCAGAACCTAACTATGTGGGACAGAACACAACAAGGACCAGAGAAGCCGTGGATGCTCCATCTTTGGAAGTGTTCAAAGTTTGGTTTGATGGGACTTCAAGCAACCTGATCTAGTGAAAGATCTCCCTGCCCATGGCAGGGTGGTTGGACTAGATGATTTTTAAAGGTCCCTTCCAACCCAAACCTTTCTATGATTCTAAGGACATCCACCTTTTACAGGGGCCCCTGGGTCCTACCATGATACACATGGTAACAGCCATCCCTCCAGGTCTCGTCACAAGAGCTTAAATGGGAGAAGCACATGCCAGAGGATACAACTGCTGTGGAGGTTGCTGGCCTGCTACCAGCTATTTCTTGCATTAAACCAACAAGCCAGCAGCAAGACACCAGCAGCTGCCAGCAGCACCAAGCTGTAGCAGGTAGATGTCTGAGAAGAGGCAAGGTACATGAAAACTGTTCCATCGCTAGCTGTTGACAAGGGCAGGCAATCCCACACTAATAGGAAATTTAATAAATCCCACGCTAATAAACCACAAGTACACTGATACATCGTAAGCGAATGGGGTGTTCGGCTTTAAAACAAATGTGCCCCTTTCTGTAATGCTTTGCTGATCTTCAGGAACACTGCACAGCCAGGGAAATGACAGACTGAGCTAGCTTGCTGTCATTCTGAATTACCCAGTCAGTTTGAGAACTCATTTGCTAAAGGACGCATCTCAAAATCATTTAGCTCTCCCCTCCTTTCTACCACATTAGCATAAATCACAAAAAGCATCGCTAGAAGTTGCACTAACATTTCCCCAATGGGACCCTTCAATTGTCTTTCACAGAAGCAAAGAAAACAAAGACATGCATCCAAATTCCAGTACATATGGGAAACATTGTTTTCTCCATGTCTGATACTCTGTAATTCTTTCCTGAAGCGTTGGACATGCCTTAGCACTACACTGATCTGATTAGGATCTCATACAAAACCTTGTGAAGTGCTAGGATACGCTGCGGCAGTCTTAGCTAGCTTGTGGCAGGGAACCGAGTGGCTGTGCTGAAGGGATGCCAGCCTGCCCGCAAGCTCACATGAAACAGCTGGCCATTGTAAAGCTTGGTTTGACATAACTCTGCAAGCAAAATCAGCTGGGCAGTTCCTTCTTCCCACTCCCTCTCTCCCTCTGCACCAGTGTCAAGGAGACAGTCTCGTCCTCAGCAGACTTTGCCTGGGAACTCAGGGGACGTACGAAGCCAGTGAAGCATGTACAGTCACTGTGCTGGGAAACCAGCCGAAATATAAATGACTTGTTTGGCAAGGCCAAAGTGGATCCACTGAGTAAGCACATGCCTGGAGAAAGGCCTGAGACTTGCTCCCTGTCACCAGGCGTGGTGCAAAGGCTAGTGAGTCAATGCCTCAGTTTCTCCAACTGTAAAATAAAGCCAAACACCATTTCCTTTCTCTTTGCAGGGTTTTTATGTTCAGAGGCCAACCAGAGTGTTAAAGCCTGTCAAGGTTTTGGGACAGAAGGTGCTATGTAAGTGCAAGGAATTAACATCATTACACTTTATATGTGAACCAAAGCCCTAATTCCCACCCCAGCCAGTGGACTAAGCCAGTAGCTGTAAATTTCCAACATTTAACACATTGCTACCTACCAAGATAGGACTTAGCTAAGAATACCACACACACTTGCTTCTGCATGAATGAAGCGTGTGGATTCAGGGAGCAGCAAATCTATCTAAGCTGACTGTGGATTCAAGAAGATTGATATCTAGCTCATGTTTAAGATCAGAGGACACACAACTGGAAGGGACGTTCTGTTTTCAAGGAGCATAAAGACACATTGGTGAGACAAGTAAGGTCAAAGAAATTGCTTCTAGGCTTGACCTCCTTGTTTTTATTATGCACGTCACCTCCAGTCTCCTGGCTTTCCAATGCTGTTTTTTAACCTTGCACAGAAAACAAGTAACACCGCTGCAGAACACTGAATTCAGTAGCACAAAGAGAGAAGGTTGTGATTCAGGAATCCACTTCTAGTCCGGATTCAAAACCTAGTTTGTTTATTAAGGTCTTCACCCATTGCTCCTTATATATTTGTGAGAAGAAAACAAAACAAACCCTCTCACTTCACGTAAACATTTGCATCTCTGCTGTCATATACATCACGTGAAATTGAGATGAAAAGACCTGAAGACTTTAACACCTCAAAAAACAATTCAGACTGCAAACAAATTTCCCCAAACCACAAAAACGACTGAAAAATTTGCTTTGAAAAATGAGCAAAACTCTCCCCTCTCCTAAAACCAGAAATCTGTCTCAAGAGATAAATCAAACTCCTTGACGACACTCACCTTTGCTCTTTCTGTAGAGCTTCTGCATGCTGTCTGTTCTCGTGCCGCCACATCTGCAACTCGTTCTTCATGGCATCCATGTCTTCCTGAATGTAATCCATGATTCTGCCAAGCGTAAGGGCACTCCGGCACAGAGTCTGAATAGAGACCTGAAACTTCTCAATTTCTTTGGCTACCAAGTCTCTCTCTTTCTTCTTAGCTGCTTCTGACACAAAGGGCTTCTCCTAATGGAAAGGATGAATAAGAAAGCAAATATCAAAACTAGGAAAAATGTTTGTTGCACATGATGTATTGAATGAAGAATGTTTTAAAGACTGCTAACTGAAGTATCTGGAGAAATGTTTATGACAGTCTGCAATGAAAGAGAAGAAATGAAGCAACAGCCTAGCAGTAGATGAGCAGAAAGTGTACCATCTCCAGGTCACCACTGCTACAGAGGACTGCTACAAAACTGTGCAATAGCATCAGCAATATTAAATTGCTTTTCAGATCACAAGTGTACAAAAGTAAAATTAGTCTTTGATCCCCCAAAAAATGATCTCACTGATGTTCTCATTCTCGACACAATCTTTCCCAAAGCAGCGGGTGTAGAGGGGCAGGGGGGAAGCTCCTTCACATTCAGTCATGATTTACTTCAAGCTATTTCTATATATTGAAAAGGAAATTTCTGTGGCTTAATGTGGCATCATTAAACAGAAGCTCTCAACAGACATGTAACAGTTTCGTTACCAAGCTGCTGCTGCCACTGACTGCCAATGCAATCACTGTGTAAATTGCATATCGTCCCCTGTGCACTCTATGGGGCAAGGCTGGACTGTCACTGCCATCACGCTCCAGAGCCCTGTACCAGGACTTGGTATTGAAGACTTTACTCCATACTGCTGCAAGTCACAGTGCATAACAACACTGAAAAAAGGTCATGTTAAACACTTGAGGAAGATTATTATGAAATCTGAAAGACAGCGATTTGGAGAAAGAGAAGCATCCCTGCTCATCATGTTATAGGCTACCACACCATGCACGTTCATTGGACCTGCTTGCCACAGTGTTTTGCTGTTACTTGGGAGCTACAGCAGATGCTGAAGAGCACAGCCTCCTTCTAGTTCTCTAAATCGCTCCCTTCAAGATGCTTCTCTCCCTCCCCTGTGTGTATCTGGATTTCCAGCTTCTAACGCTGGTCCTAATAATAGCACTTCATGCTGCACAGCTAAAATAGACGGCGGTTATTCCATGCCTTGTATTTCTGTTAACAGTGGTTGTAAAATCATGCAGGCTGCAGATGTGGCCTCAATAAACTCCACTACTCAAAACTAATTTGGTCTTGTGCACACTTCCCTCATGTGCAGCCAGCAGAGTCTCTGTGGTCAATCTCCTGAAGCCTACTAGCTTACTGCAAGTTGAATAGAGGGAAAGTGTTTGCGAAAGCATTGAAGTCACAAAGAGCAAAAGGATGCCACAAAAAGAGCAGTGATGCTGCATTACTGTAACAATCACATTCCAGGAAAGCCTTCCCTGAAAACAACAATCACCGTTAAAGAAAAGTCTGCTGGGTTTTTTCTCCCCCATCAAGAAAAACAACCTAAGTTTTCTTTCTTTTCAAGATTCCTACAGGTCAAATTCCCAAACCGAGTTTTTAAGACACACAAAGCTTTAAGTGAAGTTTATTTAAAGTCATTTTGGTCATTTAATGTATGCCGGAAAACTAGAAAGGTCTTTCTCTACCACCCCAACCACAGGATCAACCAACTCCTAAGCACAGTTCCTAGCGGCTATATAAACACAGAGGTGGCAGTGTGCTTCTCTCTCGTGCTGGGACACCAAATCTACCCTGCTATCCCCTCCTGCCCTCCTACCCAATTGGCCTGTCTTCCTGTGCGAGCTGTGGGCTGTTTGTTCAGCTGCATTTGGAGGCAGCAGGGACTACTGCCAAACACATTTCAGCAGCCCTTGGCTTACTGATGAACTCAGATATATATATATATATATTTTAGAAAAATACTTCTAAAGATTTGAAGGCTGAGATTTACTTACGTCTGATGCTTGTGTTTTACCACACACGCAGCACACAAAAACTGTGGGACTTCTGAGTTTACTGCGATTTTATAATGTTAAAGTTGTTTAATTAGGAACTGGGCTGAAGTGACAAATGCTGCTGAACTTGTGACCTTCACTTCCTAAGTCAATTCATGAGTGCTGGCTAAACTGTTAAAAATAACACTCATCTTAATTCCTTCTCACTCGACCCATACTTCTCTCACAGAAGCAGGTGTTTCATTATACTACATTACATAAAACATGTTATTTAGATACTTTCTGGAGCCATCTATGTGTTTGCTATCCTTTAGAACACAAAGGCTGCTTCTTGACCCATTTCATCCCCTGTGAGCTGGTAAGCACCCTCGTTCCAAGCAGAGCTGCTAAGTGTTGAACAGTTCTCCCCTGGGTCTCCTCCTCGACTAGCCTCTGAGCACAATAGCCAACGGTGTTCCCATGGACCTCGTCAGGCTTCTCTCCCCTACTGATCTTGCAGCTCCCCAGAGAAGAGAACTTTTGCCCGGGTGCCCCTGAAGTCACAGATTGACAGGACAGGGTCCTGCACACCAGCCATTTACTAGGGCTCAACACACATCTCAGGTTGACAAAAGTTCCTCTCCTGGAAATATTTTTTTGCCTCGCTGCCTTGCTGCAGCTAGGAAAGGTGTATGAACAGATCTGCATGCTCACAGTGTTTCAGAACCCTTTGCTGTCTATTCTATTTTCCTAGTCCTTGCTACATGTTCTGCCACACCAAAGCCATAGGGAAACCTTAATCCATGGCACCACACTTTGCACATGTAATTGGGAAGTTACCTATAAAGACAATCGCCTTCAGTTCAGCAGCAGAGCAGAGTTGTATCATATCCAACAGCTTCCCAGGATGAAGTTCCATTGCCTTGTTTTTCCTCTCCTGCTAAGCACACCAAACCCTTACCACTCCCCCTCCCATCCATTATAAGAAGGCACAGCCAAAAGGTAGTTGTATTTAAGGGTAACGAAGCTGGTGAAGAGTCTTGAGAATAAGTCCTGTGAGGAGCGGCTGAGGGACTTGGGGATGTTTAGTCTGAAGAAAAGGAGGCTGAGGGGAGACCTTATTGCTCTCTACAACTACCTGAAAGGAGGTTGTAGAGAGGTGGGTGTTGGTCTCTTTTCACAAGTTACAACAAAATCCCACAAGTCTGTAAACAAGCAAACCAGAACTGTATACTTTAAAACATAGATCCAGCTAATAATTTGAAATATTCCATGCTAAAATACACCGCTGCTTGAAAGCTCCAGTGAAAATAAACCACCATGGAATATTTTCTATGAATCAGGAAGATGCCCTTAAAGTGTATTAGTAAATATTCAAAAATAATTTTAACGTCCCTGTAACTCCAACATACTCTTTGTACAGTTCAGTTCTTCAAAACTGACATAAAAAGGACAAAATATTATCCCATCCAAAGTAATTTCAAGTACTGAAACATACTATTACTAAAAATTTATTAAATACTATTTGGACTTAAACAGGTACATCAACAGGCTTGTTTAAAAAAAAAAAAAGTCTTTCAAATGCATACTATATGATATCCAAGTGGTGTAAGAAAACGCAAGAGTTTTTTTAGTTTATCTCTCTGAAGGAGAAGCACTTAAATTTCAAGCTCCCAAGAAAAATTTCCCAACACCTGAAGGTGCAGTAGCTCAACTGCCATATTGTTGTCCCCCCTCACACGAGTTAAAAAATAACCATCAATTCTTTCTTTCATTTCACTAACACTTGTACTACCAAGATGCTATGTTATATTTCCTGCAGTCTACAGAAAGCTGAGCTCAGCACAGAGAATTATCACCGTGAAGCACTCAAGCACTACCAGCTATTGCTTATTATAAGTAATTAAGGTGGTGAGGAAGCCATATTGTCTGTTCTCAGTTTCATAGTTACAGTTATGGGTTAAAATCTACGTGGGACACTCTTTTAAATCACTAAGAATTATGGGAGATGGTTTATTACAACAGGCAACGTGGGTGGTAAGGGTCCTGAATGCCACCTTTCCTCATTTTGCACAAACATGTAACAGGATATATTCAGTTTTAAGAAAAACGCCAGAATCAGAATTGTTCCAGTCTATTTAATTAGGCCATACACCTCAATGAACTCTCCTTTCACAAAAGCCTAAGAATCAATAAATTATCCCCATATAAAAGACTGTATCACTTCTGTAGGCCCAACATGCTTCCCTTCCTTCGTGTTTTTCATAAGGCACCAAGATAAATGTTTATTTTGGATTCCTGGGAAAAAGTCTGCCTTTCCCATTACCTCAATGTGAACAGAACACAACGTGGCCTCGGATGCAGGGACCTGAGAAATTAAAAAGGAGGATTTTTTTTTTTTTCATCAATAAAGGGGAAATTATCAACAGGGCTCCAGAACCCACCAGAATTTACTTGTGTTTAATTTACCCTCGCTAAAGCAATTAGTATAAATATTGCTGTGTGCATAGCCCCATAAAAATGGATCATTCACAAGACATCCATTTCTGATAGTTGGGCTGTTGAGGGCATTTGAAGTGTCTGACATCTACTAAGCTAAAGAGGTGATTCTTTTTTTCCCCACTGTTTGAAAAGTTTATTTCTAGAAACAGTATTTGCTTACTTTTATATAGCTTCTCCTTTGTTTCCATTTTTTAATTAACAGTTTTTAAATAGGAATCAAATTAGAACAAACATCCATCAAGCACTTTATAGTTTCTACAGCCGCTTTTAACTATTATATTGCGTCCTATTATGAAAACAGACCCAAATAATCATAGTTTTATTGACCTATACCATTTCCCCCCTACCTCTTTCTATAAGACAGGACAGAAACTTCATTTTGGACAAGTAATTTTGATACATTCAATGTAAAAACAACAAGGTGGGTTTTTTATTGTACAAAATATTTTTTGATCATAAAGATTGTTTTCTTTTCCTGGTTTTTACAGAGTCTGCATTTTAAGTAGATTGTAACTATCCACTAGGGATCACCGTAAGAAACTCTTTCACAGAAACACAGGGAAAACAGTAAATGTTAAATCATTTCAAATGAACAGGATGCTTTTTCTGCTTATGCCAGGTACCAAGTTCAGTAACAGGCCAAGGAATCGGAGACACAGTGTTCTTTGCTGTTAGATTTACCAGAGTTAGTCTGACCTGCTTCTGAGTTGGA